GACCCGTCCTGTCCCGCCCCTCCCCCCCCCCCCCAATAGCTAGCAATTGAAAAGAGTCCAGTGGAGCCTGAGTGGTGGGTGTTGCCTTCTGACACACTTCCATTGATGTCAGGGGGCGTGGCATATGCAAATAAATTATGCTAATGAGTAATGAGCTCCTGCACCTCTATGAAATGACCCCTGCTTGTGGGTCTTGTGGGCCCCTGAAAACTTGCTCCCGAGGCTTGTGTGTGTGTGTGTGTGATGCAGCACAGGTGTGCAGCGGGGGAAATCTGGTGGGAATGATAGAGAGAGACACACACACACCCCTTTGCTCAAATGGAACTGCCTTCCCTTTTCCAATTCGGGCTCCTTTCTTTTCAAGCGCAGTCTGGTGGGTTCTTTGGAAAGAGGGCAGAAAAAACAAATACATCTTTTGAACCTTTTGCGTCAGGAGAAGCCGTATCCTGCAACGTGGGAAGATCTTGTCTCAATAGATATTGTTTACCTTGACTTCCAGAAAGCTTTTGATAAAGTTCCTCTTCAAAGGCTCCTAAGTAAGCTCAAAAATCATGGGATAAAAGTCCTTTTATGGATCAAAAACTGGCTAATTAATAGAAAACAGAGAGTGAGTATAAATGGGCAGTTCTCTCAGTGGAGGGGGGTAAGCAGTGGGGTACCGCAGGGATCAGTACTTGGTCCACTGCTTTTTAACTTGTTCATTAATGATTTGGAGTTGGGAGTAAGCAGTGAAGTGGCTAAATTTGCAGATGATACGAAGTTGTTCAGGGTGGTGAAAACCAGTGAGGATTGTGAGGCACTCCAAAGGGATCTGTCAAAGATGGGCAAGTGGGCGTCAACATGGCAAATGGGGTTCAATGTGGCCAAGTGCAAGGTGATGCACATTGGAGCCAAAAATCCTAAATATAAATACACATTGATGGGGTCTGAACTGGCAGAGACAGATCAAGAGAGAGATCTTGGAGTTGTAGTAGATAACTCACTGAAAATGTCGAGACAGTGTGTGACTGCAATAAAGAAGGCCAATGCTATGCTGGGGATTATTAGGAAGGGTATTGAAAACAGATCAGCCAATATAATAATGCCCCTATATAAATCAATGGTGAGACCTCATTTGGAATACTGTGTGCAGTTCTGGGCACCACACCTTAAAAAGGATATTATAGCTTTGGAAAAAGTGCAGAAAAGGGCAACTCGAATGATAAAAGGGTTGGAACACTTTCCCTATGAGGAAAGGTTAAAGCGCTTAGGGCTCTTTAGCTTGGAGAAACGACGACTGAGGGGTGACATGATTGAGGTTTATAAGATTATGCATGGGAAAGAGCAGGTAGAGAAAGAGGTACTTTTCTCCCTTTCTCACAATATAAGAACTCGTGGGCACTCGATGAAATTGCTGAGCGGTCTGGTTAGAACAGATAAAAGGAAGTACTTCTTCACCAAAGAGTGATTAACACTTGGAATTCACTGCCACAGGAAGTGGTGGCGGCTACAAGCAGGGACGGCTTCAAGAGGGAATTAGATAAGCATATGGAGCAGAGGTCCATCAGTGGCTATTAGCCACAAGGTATAGATAGGGACTCTGGGGCAAGGGATGCTCTGTCTTCTTGGTGCCGGGGGGGGGGGTCAACAGTGGGAGGGCTTCTAATGTCCTGGCCCCACTGGTGGACCTCCTGATGGCCCCTGGTATTTCTGGCCACTGTGTGACACAGAGTGTTGGACCGGATGGGCCTTTGGCCTGATCCAACATTGGCGTCTCTTATGTTCTTATGTGGACAAGATTTGCTTCTGATCCCAAGTTTGACGTTGGCGTTGGCCTTCTCCTTTTGCTTGAGGCGCCCGATAAGGCGCCTTCGGTGACGACGGAGTTTGATCGAAACACCTTTTCCCTCCCGCAGGTTCCGGGGTCAAACGGAATGGTACCGAGAGCACAACCGAAAGCGATTTTGCGTGGACCTGGTAAATTACCAGGGAGTCCCCTTGGAAGCGGCTGACTTCAGCGGCTCGATCATCAGCTACGAAGGTCTGGGCAGCCTGGGTGAGAAAACTGGCCTCGAATCGGGGCCGATGGAGATGGTTCAAAGCGTGCATGTTGCACTTTTCTCAACAGCCAAGATGTGTTTTCCTTCCCTGGGGCTTTCAAGAAGGGTTAGCCAGGAACGACAAAACAACCGTGAGCTGAAATACCCGCAAGTATAAATGTACAAAAAAGAGACTTCAATAAAGTGAAAAGAAGCATATAATTAGCAATATCAGTAACAAATCTCTCCTTTATATATAATTGAATAGTGGGTGCCAAAGTTCTAATTCTAAAATGCACTCCCTTAGTGTATGGCTGATGGCACTGCTCCTCAGCATATATCGCCACCAATCAGAAGGCAAAGCCCGGGTCCCGCCCACACCACAACTGCTGCGACAACCTGGTCTTTTGCATATGGAAGCTGATTGGACTTCAGTCCATTCCACACCTCAAACTCCCCCCCCCACAAGGCAGTTGGGATTTTCAGTTGCATAACATACCTCATAGGGGAGAGGAGAATGGGTAACAATGGTTACCACTCTCCAGGTGAGGGCTACAGATAACTCAAACATACAAATGCTCTTCAGGTAGCAGAGATCAGTCCCTCTGGAGAAAACAGTGGACTCTGTCATTAAACCCTGCTGAGGTCGCCACAGGAAACTGACACTGTTTGCCCAAAGCCAAAGCACTCTCCCAGAGCCTCTTCCTAGATCCCGTTGTATTTATTTCCGCAACGGGCATTATTTCTAGTAGCATTATAAAACACATTAGCAATTTCTGTAATTATTTATTTATTTATTCATTTATTTATTGGATTTATACCCCACCCTTCCAGCCAAGGCCAGCTCAGGGCGGCTTACATAAAAAAGAATAAAACACATCAATACCAATTTAATCCTAAAATAATCTAAAAACATTCCAACACTATAAAGGTGCTATGGACGTTAGATAATACTGATAAATTAAGGAGGTTTGAATAAAATTTATACATCTCTTTCTTACATGCAAACATAGCAGTTATATGTAAAACATAGCTTTTGTTTTCAGAAGGGCTGTGGTTTAGTGGTAGAGTATCTGTTTTCTATACAGAAGTGCCAAGATTCAATCTCTGGTTAAAAGGTAGGAGGTGATGTGAAAGACCTTTGCCTGAAACCCTGGAGAGCCATTGCCAATCAAAGTGGACAGCACTGGCTTGGATATACCAATGGTCTGACCCAATATAAGGCAGTATCATATATTCTTAACATGCCCTAGAATACTTAGTGAATTTCTTGGCAAACTTTCAGTTGTTACTCAGCAAGCAAGTTGATATGGAACAAGTTCCTGGAAACAGAAGGCTGGAAAACTTCTACAATATTGGATAATGCCTAAAGCTGCCAAATCTTGCCAGACTCAAATACCAGCTGTGATGGTTGTTGCCTATGGGACATAGGGCTATATGTGTATGTTTTTACATTTTACTCTCTCAGACTGAAGAGATTCTATGAGATAAAACTAGATGAGTAAAACAGGATTCTGGCTGTAATTGATTTTGAATTAATCCAATCTCTTCTTCTTTTACCTCACAGGGTGTGTGTTGTGGGGAGGGGAAGGGAAAGGAGATTTTCAGCCGCTCTGAGACACCTTTGGGTAGTGAAGGGCAGGGTATAAATCCAATCTCTTCTTCTTTTACCTCACAGGGTGTCTGTTGTGAGGAGGGGAAGGGAAAAGGAGTTTGTAAGCCGCTCTGAGACACCTTTGGGTAGTGAAGGGTGGGGTATAAATCCCCTCTCTTCTTTTTCTTCTTCTTCTTCTTCCCACAGTTAACCTGAAAGCACTGAAACATCTCGATCTCAGCCGCTGCCCCAACGTGGACGACTGGTGCCTGAGTCGGCTGCACGTCTTCGGGGAGACGCTGGAGGAGCTCTCCCTTGCCGGCTGCCCCCGGGTCACCGAGAGGGGGCTGGGTTGCCTTCACCACCTGGAGTGAGTCCATGCCACCGATTGGCGCATTTGCGCTTTTGGCTCCATGTCAACAGGACACAGGCCGGTATTTGCTTCAGGCAAACAAGGGCTCGCTTTCAGCGAGATAACATGAAGCTGCCTTGTACAGAATCGTCCATCAAGGTCAATATTGTCCACTCAGACGGCCAGCGGCTCACCAGGGTCCCAGGAATTGTCCACTCAGACCGGCAACAGCTCTCCCAAAGTCTCAGGTCTTTCACCTGCTCCCTAATCCTTCTAACAGGAGATGGTAGAGGGTGAAGCCTGGACCTTCTGCATGCCAAGCAGAGGCTCTGCCACTGAGGTACAGCCCCACTTCATGGCTCTCCAGGGTCTCAGGCAGAGGTCTTTCCCATCCCCTCCTGCCTGGTCCTTTTAACGAGAGGACGGGGATCGAACCTGGGACCTCCTGCATGCCAAGCAGAGGCTCTTCCACTGAGCCACAGCCCCACTTCATGGCTCTCCAGGGTCTCAGGCGGAGGTCTTTCCCATCCCCTCCTGCCTGGTCCTTTTAACTGGAGATGCCAGGGATCGAACCTGGGACCTTCCGCATGCCAAGCAGAGGCTCTGCCACTGAGGTACAGCCCCACTTCATGGCTCTCCAGGGTCTCAGGCGGAGGTCTTTCCCATCCCCTCCTGCCTGGTCCTTTTAACTGGAGATGCCAGGGATCGAACCTGGGACCTTCCGCATGCCAAGCAGAGGCTCTGCCACTGAGGTACAGCCCCACTTCATGGCTCTCCAGGGTCTCAGGCGGAGGTCTTTCCCATCCCCTCCTGCCTGGTCCTTTTAACTGGAGATGCCAGGGATCGAACCTGGGACCTTCCGCATGCCAAGCAGAGGCTCTGCCACTGAGGTACAGCCCCACTTCATGGCTCTCCAGGGTCTCAGGCGGAGGTCTTTCCCATCCCCTCCTGCCTGGTCCTTTTAACTGGAGATGCCAGGGATCGAACCTGGGACCTTCCGCATGCCAAGCAGAGGCTCTGCCACTGAGGTACAGCCCCACTTCATGGCTCTCCAGGGTCTCAGGCGGAGGTCTTTCCCATCCCCTCCTGCCTGGTCCTTTTAACTGGAGATGCCAGGGATCGAACCTGGGACCTTCCGCATGCCAAGCAGAGGCTCTGCCACTGAGGTACAGCCCCACTTCATGGCTCTCCAGGGTCTCAGGCGGAGGTCTTTCCCATCCCCTCCTGCCTGGTCCTTTTAACTGGAGATGCCAGGGATCGAACCTGGGACCTTCCGCATGCCAAGCAGAGGCTCTGCCACTGAGGTACAGCCCCACTTCATGGCTCTCCAGGGTCTCAGGCGGAGGTCTTTCCCATCCCCTCCTGCCTGGTCCTTTTAACTGGAGATGCCAGGGATCGAACCTGGGACCTTCCGCGTGCTAAGCAGAGGCTCTCCTCCTGCACCACAGCCCCTCTGCCCAAAGTCCCTCAGAAGTCTGCTGTTCTTTCCACCAGCATCCCGTTGAAATCCAGCCTCCATCTTTTGTTCAGTGGGTGGCAAGCGAGGAGGTCAAATTCGCCGTGGACCACAGAATCCCTGCGATTGCTGGAGGCGCCATAACCAGGCCCAACTTCCTCCGCCTGCTTCCCTCAGGCACGGAGCCAACAGAACAGGAATGTTTTCTGAAGCCAGAAGAGGGGAGACGCTTGCCAGGTGTGAGGCGGAGATGGCTGGAAAACCGGGCGAGCCAGAATAACCTCAAGGAACTGGGTGTCCCCTTCATTTGGGAGCACAAGTCTCTAACCTAATACCCCTGCACACCTGCAAACGCCCTCCTTTTCTTCAGACTCAAACTTGCTCGGTAAACAGGAATGCAGGAATGAGCTGTGTGTTCTCTAGTTGCTGTGCAGTTCTGCTTTCTGAGAAGTAATTTCGCTGGGGAGACTGCTGGCTTTCGAAGAAGAGGAAGAGGAAGAGATTGGATTTATACCCCGCCCTTCACTACCCAAAGGAGTTTCAGAGTGGCTTACAGTTTCTGTCAGATCTCTCTGCCCCACCTAACTCACCGGGTGTCTGTTGTGGCAAGGGGAAAGGAAAGGCATTTGATTCCCCACTTCTCTACATGCAGCTACTGGTGTGACCTTGGGTCAGACACAAGTTCTTTCAGAGCTGTTCTCTCAAGGGCAGTCCCCAAAAGAGCTCTCTCAGCCCCACCTACCTAACAGGTTGTCTATTGTGGGGAGGGAAAGGGGATTGTAAGCTGCTCTGAGACTCCTTTGGGTAGTGAAGGGCGGGGTATAAATCCAGTCTCCTCCTCCTCCTCCTCCTCCTCCTCCTTCTTCTCCTCCTCCTCCTCCTTCTCCTTCTTCTCCTTCTTCTCCTCCTTCTTCTTCTCCTTCTCCTCCTCCTTCTCCTTCTCCTCCTTCTCCTCCTCCCCCTCCTCCTCCTCTTCTTCTTCTTCTCCTCCTCC